GCCATAGGGGATTGGGTACTGTTTTGGGTACTGACGTGACCCAGATATGATCTTCAGTATTTCACTTAGAAAAGACTACATCTCTGTTATTTCCTTTATTTTAAAAATTGGGTACCACTGTGGGTACTCCTGTTATATCTGGGGTTTTGGCAGGGCTTTGGTTTTTGCTACAAAACTTCTGCTTATGTACAGAACTGCTCAGAAAGTTCTTCCTGTGTGCCAAAGCTCAAATAAAACTATCATACGATTTTAAATCAGATTCATACTTGAATTTTCTTAGGCACAGTATCGCTTTGTTCACAAGTCGTCATTGCTAACTTTATCAGGTCTTAATGGTTTTTCAGCAAGTTGTGAAAGGCAGAGTGTTTCTGGAGTTTCTGATAATGTATTTGTCTGAAACTTTCTCAGTGAAGGCCCTTGCCTACTGGCATATTTGTCCATTTTGACTAAAAAATAAAATCAGAATTCTTTACAAAGGGCCCTTATGTTATTACCATTTGGGAAAAAATGAAATTTAGAAGTCTTGTAAGTATTAATTTGTTTAACCTAAAACACTACTGATTTTTTTTTTTTTTTGAGGGAATAAAAACAAAAATATCTGGTTTTAACTTGTAGTAAAAAGCAATGTGAATTCTGAAATGTTGTCTTATTTATTTGTTCTGAAGCGGAACTGCAGAGGAATGCCACCCTGGAATAAATGGAATATATCCCCAAGCTGAATAAAAGTTGCCTGAGGTTTGCCTGCTCTAGGGTGACTAGTGCTGAGGTTGAGAGACAAGAAACTTCACACTGTTCTGTTCACTAAATATGCCTGTTCTGTGCAACAGCCCTGAAATGCCTCTCTTAACATACTCTGTCTAAAGATTGCACATTAATGGATTTGCTAAGAATTAGTGTTCCTGATGCAACAGTGCGCTAATGCTACATACGATGATGTTCTGTGTGTTTTCATTAATAACTGATATGTGTGGAGTCAGCACAGGAAGGACACGGACCTGTTGGAGCGAGGCCAGAGGAGGGACACAGAGATGGTCCGAGGCTGGAGCAGCTCCCGTGCGAGGACAGGCTGAGAGAGTTGGGGGTGTGCAGCCTGGAGAAGAGAAGGCTCTGGGGAGACCTTCCAGCACCTTCCAGTGCTGAAAGGGGGCTACAGGGGAGATGGGGGGGCTCTGGGTCAGGGGGTGCAGGGACAGCACATGGGGTAATGGTTATAAGCTGAAAGAGGGGAGATTTAGGTTGGATGTTAGAAGGACGGTTTTTCCTGTGCGGGTGGTGAGGCAGTGGCCCAGGTTGCCCAGAGAAGCTGTGGATGCCCCATCCCTGGAGGGGTTCAAGGCCAGGCTGGATGAGGCTTTGGGCAACCTGGGCTAGTGGGAGGTGTCCCTGCCCATGGCAGGGGGTGGCACTGGGTGGGCTTTGAGGTCCCTTCCAACCCAAAGCGTTCTGTGATTTTAAATGGGTGAAATTGAGAAGGATTTAAAAACTAGTGAATTTAAAATGGTTTTGGTTATGTAATGTCCACAAAGTATTTATGATAAATGATAGCTGACATTGTCAGGCACTGACAGTAGCTTGGTGTTGAGTAAGCTTGGTATCTCCCTGTTGTATTGTGTAAAAATTGTTGGACTTTGCAGTCAAATATTTCAGTGTGTTCCTGTGAAACTCTGTTGGAGAGATTTCTAGTTTTGAAAGCAAATTTAGTTTGTATAGGCCTCCATCACTTTTAGTGTTACGACAGCATCCCTAACGTGCTGGGTGATAGCTACAGTGATTGCAAAGACAAAAGTTTCCTCTAAGACAAGCACTAGGTGAAGAAAGTCACCAGGATGCAGTGTACAAATATTTATAATGAATACTAAAAATGCGTCTAGAGCCCTAATTGGTTTTTAAAATTTTATTCCTGTTTATTTCTTTATTCATCTTAACAATTCGAGCGTGTACCAAGTGTCTCCATGTCAGTCACTGGGAGACGTTGTTTCTCTGGAGGCCGGTGGTGCCAGCTTTCCGTTAGGCCCATCAGCGTGAAGGGGATACACTGTCCCACTCGGTGGTGCCTGCTGGAGAGCTAGGCTAATTCCTAAAATGCCTCTAGGCTCTGAAATACAGATTTCTCCTCACTGCTCAGCAACAGAAGCTGTCTTTCTTTTTTCTTTTTTCTTTCCTTACCTCTAAATTCTGTTTAAGCCAGATTAAATGCATATAGCGAGCGTTCAGAACATCAAAACCAGGTAACACACATGCTTATAAAAGATGCGAGTGAAGATATGACCTGCACTTCAGCTTTGAGATACTTTTCTGATGTAATCTTACTGAAGTACGGTTTTTCCTGGCAGAATGACTTTGTCGGTCTCCATTGGCAGAGCAGCCGTGTGGATTTGCCCTCTTTGTCTGCCATGTACCTGCGGTTGGAGCTCTGAAATAGAGCTTTCATTGCCAAATTCCAGTCTCGGTAGCCCAGGCAGAAAAAAAATACAGCCCACATGCCTCTCTGAAGTGGGGTGATGAGCAGCTTTCATCCTTCAGTTACTCTGCTTACCCCTGGCTAGAGCAAGCGGCTGCTGTTCTTAAATGAAGTGAGTGTGCTTGTGTTGCTTTGCTCAAGCTAGACAGCATCTTTTTTCCTTGACTGGCTAACTAGCAGGTTCACCCTTCTGGAGAAGGGTCTGGAGCACAGGTCTGACGAGGAGCGGCTGAGGGAGCTGGGGGGGTTCAGTCTGGAGAGGAGGAGACTGAGAGGAGACCTCATCACTCTCTACAGCTGCCTGAAAGGAGGGTGCAGTGAGGGGGGTGCTGGGCTCTGCTCTAAAGGAACAAGTGATGGGACAAGAGGAAACGGCCTCAAGTTGCGCCAGGGGAGGTTTAGGCTGGATATTAGAAAAAATTTCTTCACTGCAAGAGTGATGAGGCATTGGAACAGGCTGCCCAGGGCAGTGGTGGAGTCACCATCCCTGGAGGGGGTCAAGAAACGTGTGGATGTGGTGCTTTGGGACATGGGTTAGTGGGTTGGGTGGTGTTGGGTTGATGGTTGGACTTGATGATCCTTGAGGTCTTTTCCAACCTTCATGGTTCTATGATTCTATGATTCTCATCCCTAAGACAAGTAAATCTTTTGCTGTTCCTTCTGTTCACGAATACATAGCTCACTGTGAAGTGTGTTCCGTTGGTTCTTATATTCTCTCTGACTCTGCAGGTTAACAGACACATGTAATACAAGCACTGGCTCTGGATTGAGTAAGGCAGGGTGCAACTGCAATTAACCGGTATGAGACAAGTGACTTCCAGTATTTTTCTCCTTGTTATACTATAACATTTTCAATAAGAAGAATCTGGTAGAGTCCTTCTTCTGTTGTCTGTCCTAGTTTTTTTTCCTGTATTTGCATGTCTGAGGACAGCTGAGTGAGGCATGATATTGCAAAACTAATTGGGGTACATCACCAAGTAGAAGGATGGTTTCCTGCTGCTACTGATTTTAATGGAAAAGTAAGAGCTAGTTAAAGAACAAAAGACTGTCTTGAATGGTGAAGAATCTTGTATCAAAAAGACTTGTTTCTTTGTGTGCTAGAACATGTGTTGTCTTCTGCTGTGCACATTCACACAAGAGGGGATGTGGAATACACTGATTTTTCGCAGTATGTACTGAAATTTAGGTATTCCCACAATTCTGGTTAAATGCATCTCCTCATGGGATGTTGCGGTTTGTGACTAGCTGTCACCTCAGGTAATTCACAATCACTTTGTCACTGCGGTGGCTTTGGTTGTGCTGTAAAGCAGCACTTCAGGACTGTTAAAAAAGGGCTGAAGTACATTAGCAGTATTTTGGCCTTGATGCATACCTTTGAACAGTTTTAAGAGTCACGTTTCTGTAAACCTGTTACTAAACTTCAGACTCTTGAGTTCTGTGGCCTGGGCAAATTAGCTACAAGTAGTTCACAGAGCCGCTGTCCTAGCTGGTTTTTCAGTATTTCTGTTACAGTCAGTGGCAATGAACATGTGCCTATTCCCTAGTCACTGTTCCTCTGACATGGTTGCAGAACGTGGTGAATAGCTAAAGGAAAGTAGTATTGTAAACTTTTAGAACAATGTGGTATAGAGTTTTGAGCTGAAGCATTTGATTTTGGGCACGATCCATGTCATTAAAGTTATCTCTGATCAGCTGAGTGAAGACTTTTTTATTATAACGCAGGAATACAAGGTGCAAGGGAAATTAATTCGTGTAAGACAGACATGGAAATAAGAACAAAGAAATATGCAGACACTGAGTGAACTGGAAAAAAAATCTTTTGATTTTGCACTTGTATGTGTAATCAGCAAATTTTGCTGCAAATCACAATTTGTAGTACAGATTGCTGCTGACAGTAGCGACTCCAGCCCATGTGTCCTCACATGAGGGTGCATTTTGCTGCTTGGGCAGGATTCTCTTTTTGCAGAAGAGAGCCCCTGTAACTGCATTTTGGAAGGACAGCAGTATTGTTGATGGGTTGTGGTGGGAAAGAGAAGTTGACAAATATAGTTGTACTTTCCTAAAGTAAAAGGTTTTTTAAAAAAGTGACTTGAAGAGGTACAAAAATATTTGCACTTTCACATCATAAAGAAAACATAGGTGTTGGTGGTTTTTTAACAGCTAAAAACTGTGACTTGACTAGTTATCTGGTCCTGTTGATAGTGTATGATATTCTCATCTGTATGGGTGTAGTAATGTAATTATGTCAAGAATCTCCACAGAGTGTTGCAATCTCTCCTGCAGAAGGCATGATATTGCATTTGTTCGTATTGCAGTAGCTGCTGAAACTCTGGGATGGAGCCTTGATTTCTAATGTGATATGTCCTCTACAAACACATAACAAAAACACTGTTCCAAAATTTTTGTTGAATATAATTTTAAGATTTTTTTTTTCATACAGGTATCCTAAAAAGAGCTTCTAGTTTTATTTTTATGTTTATAACTTTCACTTTGCCTGATATTCACACTGACGATGGTATAAATTTTCTTTTTTTCACAGTTTACGTGTGAACTTGGACATGGGTAAGGCAGCCTATGGGTGGATGATTATGAAAGACGACAATATTCCTGGAACAGTTGTTCGAACTAGCACCATACCAGAAGAGTTGGGACGATTAGTTTATTTACTAACGGATAAAACAGGTATATCAGGTTACAATTCTGAAATATGATGAATTTATATGAATATTATGGCCTTGTAGAGAGCGAGTCATTTCCCAAACAAGTCATAAGATCCGAAATGACATCTGCTACCCCATGAAGTTAGTTGCTCTTTATGTTACAAAGACCAACTCTGGAGCTGCTGTATGATTCCATATAACTATCAGCTGTTACTGTACCTGACCTGGTTCTGGAAAACCCAGCCCTCACCAGGAGCAGAGGGCGGGTAAGTGAAGAGGAAAGAGCTTGCGCTGTACTGCTCTCTGCCGTTATGGCTGAAACTTGCTGCAGTCTTACCATCCTCTTAGTTCTTGATGTGTTTAAGGAATCCTAAAGTTTATTTTGGAAAATATCGTAATAAATAACCAGTTAAATTCTGTAGGAAATACAGTATTTAAATATAGTATTTCTTCTGCTTTCTTGGTTCTTTCTGAGATGGAATAAATCAGCTCTGGTAGACATGCTGGTTTTTAGGAAGCTGAACTTTTGAACTGAGAAAGTTGTTTCTCAAACAACTGGAGAAATTTTTAGTGGTTTTAAGTAAAATATAGTTCAAAATGGTGAGAAAGCGTGTTTTTTGGGTGGGAGGGGGGACACGTGTTGGCCTCTGTTCTGCTGTTCAGGAAGCATAATACGCAGTTTACAACTCTTTCTGCTTGAAATAGTTCCACGTTCCCTCCCATGCTGAACACCTCCATTACTACATATTTTGAAATGAAATGTAAATTTAATATATTGTCACTTTTTCAAAACACACTTTCATTTTTTTCTATAGGTACACATTACCCCGTACACTTCTGAATGCTGTTGTTCTGTTTTGTAAAAGATAAAGACAACTGCCACCTTCTTTCTTAGCATGTAGAAAAGTGTATTGCTGATTATAGCGTGGTCATTCTTCAAAGCAAGTGAACAATTCTTTTAACAAGTTTTATTTCAGTTAGCTAATGATTTGTATGCTATTTGAAACTGCTTATTGATTTCAATTGCACCCTTCATCATGATAATTTATGTAACTTTAAGAGTGCTGTCTCATTGTAGGCTTGAAATATGTAATTTACAGCATATGTTTGGTAAAAGGGAAGTGTGTTCAAAAATAATGAATTTTCAAAACAACGCAGTAGAGTTCATTTGCCCAAAGCACTGCTTTGCAAGCGTAAACAGTGTATAGATGTTAAACTTCTCTGATAGAGAACCCAGTTACCATACCAAACTGGAAATGTGGTTCAAGTGTTGAGGTATTCTGCTTACAGTTAGACTGCACTGAAATTTTTAAGAGACTTTCTAAATAAAAGGCTAACAGTTCATTCACCCAATTCTACAATGCAGGAATTCTATTCAGACTCTGGTGACCAGCTTATATTTTGAGGCACAAGGATCAGTGTACTGTCTTCTTTCCCTCAAACTGTATGTACCTGCTACCTGTTTGAGAAATAGAAGATTGTTTGAAAAATTTAAAAAAAAAATAAAGCTGCTGCAGTTGTACTTCTAGAAAGACAACCAGTACATTTAACTTAATACAACAGTAATCAAAACCAAAGGTTTTCTCCTTAAAAAAAAAAAATATTTTTTTGGCAACATGACGTTTGGTGATACTGGGTTTTTCAAAGCAAAAATACTGTTACATCTATAAGGCTTTGAAGAGATGAAGGGATGCATTTTACTGACTTGCATGTACAAAGAAAAACAACCCTGTTTTGCTTCTAATAGTTTTGTTTGTTTGTTTTCAACCCACATCATGCCACTTGCAATCACAGTAGTTCTGTTTAATTTTAAGAAACACTTGTGTTCTGGCCTTTCTGAGTGTGTACTTGAAAGAGGCTAAATAGACGAATGTTAAAAGGCTTTTACCAGCAAACGTGTTGATGTGTAGCTTGGGAGATCGCTAGCATTCAGCCTCAAAGGCTTTCCAGAGCACAGACCTCTACTGAGTTCTGGGGGAAGGTCTGAATCTCAAAGTTCATGATGTAAAAATGAAAATAAAAGCAGTGTTCTCGGGCAGTAGTTCCAAACTGGTTTGGACTAACAGTCAGCAGTCTCACCCTGTGCCCTTTTATCCAAATGTTCACCAAAAGCTGATGTAGGTGAAGTAAGCCTGGGGTCCAGCGGACGTGACCAGCTTCAGAACAGGGACTGTGGCCTTGCAGACCATGCTCTTCTTCAGATCGTGATGGGAAATGCTGCTCAATTTTGTCGGTCTTAAATACCCTGCAAGTTTTAAACTATTCTTACTTCTGGATAAACATGCAGTCAACGTACCTTTTACCCGAGTATATTGGTGGCTGCTTCTGGTTTCTTTTCCTGAATACATTGGGTCTCATTCTGCATTTGATCATAAACATGAGCCATACTGTTAGGTAGTGAGCAGAACCGGTACAGTTAATCCGTGATTGCCATTGCATGATTCTGCACTCTTCATGAGAGCTGGCTTCAGTACTTTCTCGCTTGAATTTTCAGGTCTAGTCATACACACCAGTTGATGCTGTTCTTCTGCCCACTTAAGGCTTGGCTGTTGGAAGAGAAAGAGCCAGTTTTGTAGCCGTCTGTCCAAGTGGGTGCTACTAAAAAGCAGGACTAAAAGGCTGGTTTAGTTAGGTGTAAACAGGTGAAGTTTCTCTCAATATTGAAAATGAAAGGAAATCCAGAGAACAGTCTGCAAAAAAATCTTACATTGTGGCCCAAGGTTCGCTGGAAATGATTGAGAATTAGTTGTTGAGTCTAAGGAGCATTGCATTACTAACATAATTGCAAGGTAGTCCTTTGTATGATTGTAAATTGGGTTTGTGCTTCATCAATAAGCTTTTTGACAAGAAGGCGTCCATCACAGTGGCTCTCTCATTTGCCACAGTAGAATAGAAAATGAAGTATCCCAATAATTGCATTATAGTTTCCTTATTGTGGGACAAGAAAGCAATGTGGTATAATTAGGTTTGATTGGAGTGCATGTTTCCGGTAAGATCTGAAGTTAATGATGTTGCTATAGTGACACATCTGCGGCCACCAGTGCGTGAAACATAAAGTAATTCATTCGACAAGAGAAGACATCTGTTAACTGCAAGGATGCAGAGCATATTGACACTGACCAGAAATACTAGACGTTATGTGATAAATGAACAAATGATGCTGAAACAGGAGGACAGATAATTTGTACTTAATCTGCTGGGAGAACTTTAATCTTCTCACTGGTTGCATTTGACAATGCCATTGTTTAAAGAACAATGCTGCAGAGAACTCATAAATTTTAAAACTTAACTCAGGGTGCAGCCTATTAAAGCAATACATTAATTCCTTTGTTAGGGAGTTTTTATCTTCATGTAGAACAAAGCCATTACTGAAAACACCCACTAGAACAACAGGTTTTTCAGGACTCACATTTTAATTATAGCATCCATTACCCAAAATGCCATGTTTGGACTTGGATCACATAGAAGTTTGACAGAAAGGAGTCATCCGTTATTGGGGGGGCTGGGGGGCAGTTGCAGGGGGGAGCGTTTTCAAGCATTTTCCAAGGGCAGCTGAGCATGATATCTCATCCTCTCCAGGCTGCAAAAAGATTCTAATCATGAGCGAAAAATAAAGATAATTGGTAATATTTATTGAATGTTTTTGTTGCTTAGGATGTGGGATGGCAAACCTTCTGCTGTTCACGACAACTACCAGAGTATTCAGCTAAAACAATCGTGTGGTCTTCCAGGCGTAGTTGTTTACTAATGCATACGCTTGTGTTTGAGTTCTGTAATTAACATTTTAGCGGGTGTTTGGACCAAATGAGATACTTAGCAGATATAATAGTTGAACAGATGCATGGAGCAATGGGATTCTTGACTTTCTAGGAAAGCATTGTGTTAGAGGTTGATGTATATGGGCTTTTTCATTAAATGTGCCTAATATAACGTACTAGTAGAATAGTGAATTTCGGTAATTGTTTCTGAAAATTAATCTTTTAAGGTATACTTTGAGTCTGTGCAGCATAAGCTACCACAGAGAAGGACTAATTAAAAAAAAAAAAAAAAGCTGATGGAATAGTGTCTTCTTGCTTCACTCTGATGTATATATATTCACACTATTGCCTTTACGCTTCCTCTAGTCCTGTGATTTTTAGTACTGCCAAGGTTGCAGGGTGAGCAGAGCAGACTAGGAGTGGAAAGTTTTGATGGAGAGATTCTACAGGAAGCTTCCAGGCATGCACTGAAAGTAGATCAGTCAAAGGGATCCTTGCTTTGTGGCTTTTGGTGGACTCCCATTGACTGGACGTGCACGGTGTATCCCGTGAGCATAGATGTTGCCATTAGATCTTGCTGTCACCCTTGGGGGAGGCAGAAGGTAGGGAGGAAATAGCTCCTGATGTTCGTAACTATGTTAGCTGTTACCTCCTGCTCAGGAAAGAATGAACATATCTCTGCTCTCTGTGTCTTTGCCCTCATTCTTAGTGGGTTGAACTGGGGTAGGGTTGGTTTGAGGTGTTGTGGTGGTTATGTGTATGGCCTGTTCCTGGGTGAGCAGCTGGGTGAGCAGACAGTTCTGTCTATGTGTTCACCATGAGGGTTTTCATTCTCTTTTTACATTCTGCATCGGGGTGTATTTTTTCCAGCATTCACAGAAACAGTTTGCATCTCCACGTTGTTGCCAACAGTCCCATTTTTAAGAGCGGTGGGCCTGACCTGCCTTCAGGTTTCCATAGAAATGTTCACATTTGCACTGACTGTTTCAGCAAAAAGCTCAAAGTACTCATATTTTACAAAAAGTTGCCCTCTCATTTTTTTCAGGAAGTTATTAATTCTTCTGCTGTATATATTTTCTTGCATTTTGTTTTGGCCTCTTTAGATTGTTGATATTGGTCCAAGTTACCATCTAGTAAGACAGGATCAGAAAGATCTGCATCTGCTTCTCAAAAACGAAAGAAAAAATCCTCGACTGCTCTGTTGTGAGTCACATCTGTTGCCACCCGGGGAATGATGCCTTCAGGACGTTTTCCTTAGAAATTAATTTCCTCTTTGCCTGCTTTACTCTGTGTTTAATGATACAGTTGGCGGGGGGGCTGGGGGAAAGAACATACTAATTTTTTCTTCAGCAATTGTATACTAACTTCTTGTCAGGACGTTTTCCTTGTGTGGTGCCTGCATTGCAGAGCAAAGCTGAAGTGTGTGTAGTAGTACTAGCCCATATAGTGACCAGCAAAATTACTAGAACCTTTTCTGAAAGAAGCTTTTTTTCTCTAATAACTCCTCGTATTAGCAGTGTCTTGAAAGCATGGAACTGTAAGTAGGTCTTGAAAAAGCATTGTTAAAAACAGAAAGCTCTTTCACTGTTTGTTAGTACTTACACCTCGAGCAGACCAGAGAGCTCGGTTTTGGGTTGTTTTTCATTCCTAAGGTGGGCTATAGTAGAAAATCTTACCTCCAAGACAGTTGAAGGGCTTGCATTTTGGGGTGTAAAGTAGAAGATGTGTTGTTTTGTCAAGGTATATTGGTCTTCAATTAAAAAACTAAAGTTTCACAGAGAACTGCTCCTAAAGTTTTAACGTGACTGATTGGGGTTTGTCCCATTTTGGTGTTTCATTCATTGGGAGAATTTAGAAGCAAATTCTTAATTTGCAGAAGCGGTGAAACTTCACTTCCACGTGAATGACTGAAAAGGGTGTATTGTATTTTATTTTTTGCAAATTTTTTGGGGAGCACTTTCGTAAATGCAGCTGCCCATGTTTGTCTAGTAACATGTCAGGTTTATTGTGACTCTGATTGAAAGCCTTACAGCAGTCTTTAAGAAGCATGAGCAAACTGTAATTGTTGTTTATTTTCTTTGTTTTTTTTTTTTTTGTTCTTTTTTAATTGCAATTTTGTGTAACTGGTACAGGTGTTTTTGGAGCCTCTTTTCATGTGTCATAGATGGTTGCTATTACTGCAGCTGATAAAAAGAATTGTATCAGTAATGTATAAGGTGCAAGTGTTGAGTCAGGATTTCCAGAATGTTTATTTACATGTCTTTACAAGTTCATTCTTCTTCCTTGCTCGTTTTTCCTTCCCTCACTCCTGATTGTTGCAAGATAGGAAAATCCATACTTTCCTGCTCAGAAGCTTTTCTTCTCTGCTTGCTGAGAAGGCGTTGGGAGGGAACACACAAATTTTCTTTTTTTTTTTTTTTTTTTTGGAGTTGGACCGATTTAATGGTGTCAGAAGAAATAATCTTTCCATATAATAATCATAGGGCTAATTTTGTTTCCTGCTCAGTTTTCCCAAGCAGCAATTACAGAACTAGTGGGAAGCGGGTTTGACGGTTGCCTGCTGTCTCAAGATTTGAGTAGCATTTAGTTTCACAACTCCTGGGGAGTGTTTATTTTAATTCAAAGGCTTGGCAAAGCTAAAGGCAGATGTCAGCATGCCTGGAAAGGAAGGAAGGTGATGCAGATTTACTTGGAAATTTCTTGCAATAAACGTTGTTGAAGAAAGTGGGTGGGTTTTGGTTTTGTTTTCTTTTTTTATTAGAAGTGGAGATTTTAGTCTCTCATGTTTGGTAGTGGAAACCTTCATGTTTCTGATGTGCAAACTGGAGATTTGATTTTTCTAGTCTCTAATTAATTAAAGTATAAAATATAATCAAATTTAACAAATGGTCTCAGTAAAAGTACAGTGTATAAAGTCAGAGCAAGTGATTTCTCATTATTTTTATGTGATTATTATAAACACAAAATAATCTTTTTCTCCTTTGTATAAAAGTAACCAAAAATTTCTGACTTGCTGATTCTAGAGGCCAGGAACTTTGTCTTCCTGGACCGTTTTCCAACCTTGGGAATGTTCTACTTCTCATGTGGATTTTTGATAATGTTATGCATATTTTGTGGAGAATTTATGCATTTCACATAAACCTTACTTAAAATAATTTTAAAATAATATGACTGTAGGGGAAAAAAAAAAAAAACCCTTAACAGCACATAAGGAAAACAAATTTTTTTAATGTTAGAAGGAGAATTTGGGATGATCATCTCGTAGTGGATGGACATGGTTTGATGGTGCGGTATGATGGTACAATTGAAGTGTCACTGTACAGATATTGCCAGGGAGTGGTAGACATCTCAAGTGTAACTGAGAAAGAGAGGAGACTTTTACAGCCCTGCCGAATCTTTGAAGATCACTAATGGTTCTAGCTCTATTCGATGCATAAACTGGTTGCTAACTGTCCAAACAGTTCTGTTTTCCATGTAGTAATTATACCATATGTCATGCTTTTAGTTTTCTCTCTTCCTGTGGCATACTGGGACAAAGACATGATACAAAAATAGTCTACATAAAGTTAATAAGAAATATTTCATTCTGCAACTTTTATTTATAGATGTAGAAACTTGGAGGATGTCACTTTTGGTACCATGTTGTGTTTATTTTTTTGATCATCAGATGTATGTATTTTAATGACCCAAAACTCTGTGCTTAAATATAAGAATACCTTTATACTATATTAATTTCACGTTGGCTGAGTACCCATAGAAAAAAAAATTGTAGGAAGGGCCATTATCAAAAGAATCTGTTTTGAGCTGACCATGGGAAGCTAGGTGGTAGTGACCTCTCTTTGCCTGATGTACCCTGTCATGGAGTGCTGAAGCCCCCACCCCTCAATTAGAGCTTCTCCAAACCAGAGGATGTGACTAGTTGCAAAGGGTCGGTCTGTGACTTGACAGCCTGTAGTTTCTTACAAATGCGAAGTGAGCTCTGAAAACACGATTTTGTTCATTCTGGCTTGTTCCAGTTGGAGGCTAAATCCATCCAGTTTGGCAGGGGTGTTAGATCTTAATGACTTCTCTAGTAGCATTGAACGTGAGTGTTTGCCAGGATGTCTGCCTGGGTACGCAAAGCGCAGGATATCTGGGTGAATTTTGGGGGTTTGGGGTTTTTGTACTTTAACTTTTCTGATTCATGGTGTGAACTCTTGCATTGGCTTTTGAGAGTCAGTTCCATCCGCATACTGCATTTTCCATCTTTCATATGTAGAGAAAAGTTTTTGTCTTTTTTCAAGCTTGTATATTTAGTTTTGCTGGCAGAATCAACTTGAAGGTGGAAACAATTATTTCTTCCAGTATGACTAACCCTGATCTTTCTCCACAAAAATTCCCTTAATTAACTGTTCCGATGCTAACTCATGATTCATTCCTTCTTTCCAAAAGAAGGCTGTTGGGTTTTGGTTGTTGAGGGTGGTTTTTTGTGGCCTTCTCTTAGTATTTTTTCCTGCTTTGTGATATCCTTCTTTTTTACTACAGGTACACTTACACAGAATGAGATGATATTTAAGCGCCTCCACCTAGGTACTGTGTCCTATGGAACAGACACAATGGATGAAATTCAGAGCCATATTATAAACTCTTATTCACAGGTATCTCATTTTATAAATTATTTACCTTTAATATTGAGATTTTTTTAACAACATTGAAGCATTGTTGCTACTGATTATGTCTAGAAATTTGAGGTGCTATGAAAGTTCTTTCATTTATAGGTGTCCCTTAAGAGATATGATGAAAGGGAAAAACATGAGACAGTACGTAATACTCACTTAAAGGAGTTTACTTTTCTGTTCCCCACTAGCAAAAATCTGTTACCCTGTCTGTGCAGTGCAGTCCTTCTCCTGTCAAATCGTCTAGAGTAAGCTATTCATTACTGAGACTCCAAATTGCAAGTAAGACCAAGACAAACAGTAATTATATCTTTGAAGATGCTCATGAAGAATAGACATCAAAAAGCCACATTAATTGGTATAACCAGAAAGTAAAAAAAAAAAAATAGTTGTCAAAAACAAATTTATAAAGGCATATCTAAAAAGTGGGGGTTTTTTTAAAATAAAGATGGTTGCAAACAGCATCAAACTGCAGGGGGAGAAAATGGAAAAGTCCATATTGCTTGAGAGCCAAGTGTTCCTGTGATGTAGGCGAGGGCTTGGTCTGGAAAGTGTACAAGAGGATTGTGGCTCCCTGCCTGTCTGTGGGTCAGTTGTGGGGTGAAGGAGGAAGATGGAGGTCTGCAAGCATCACTTGCATCTCCCATGTATGTAAACTATTTGGGTGCTTTCTACAAACCTTTCTGAGTACCTGAGTCCACTGTGAGGTAAGGAAGGATTTTTTACTCTGTATTTTATTTCTGTCCTTTGAAGCAAAAAAAAAGAAAAGAATTACAGAAGAGGAAATAAATGATAGGTTAATTAATATTTCAGTATGTTACATACAGTATGACAATAAAACTTTATAGGAAAGTTCTTTTCCCTAGTTAACTTGGATACACAAACACAACTGGCTGACCCAGTTAAGTTTGTAGACTGACCTCCTTGTCTGCGTCCTCATTTGATCTTGGAAAAGGATTGTAGGATCAGCAATTGATTTGAATCTTTAGTTGTGCTGTGTTTTGAACTGGCTTCCTTCTTATTTGCTTTAAATAAAAATCAAAATTTAAAAGTAGCTGTTTGACACCACACTGTACTCAGTTAATATTATGTAGCTTTTGGGAAGAGAGGCAGGAGGGAAAGCAGTGAATAAGTAGTGTATGTTATAAGGTTTTTAGTCTTTGTGTATTATTTCCCATCTAAACAGATAAATCCACTTCTTTAATGCATTTTCCTTGGATAAATCTATTTCAGTGTAATTCTTAGTAGGTATAGCCCTGAATACTAAGTGAGATGCAATAATGTGCCTTGGAAATGAGATGCAGAGCTCTTCTACCTGAGGTTCAGCAATCCAAATTTGGTTCAGAATGGATTAGTGAAAGTCATTGCTACCTGACTGTGTTTATAAAATAATCACCCAAACATAGTTTTGTTACAGTGGATTGTATGGGTGTTCACAGTAACAACTGTAGCAATAAATATTAACGGACTGTCCGGAGCTGGCACACCCAGCTCTGAGTTTGATGACTCAGCACCACTCTTCTTCTGTGGGAGACAGATTTATTAACACTCTTCGTATTTTGCAGATAAATATGCTATCTGAAAAGAATGGCATGATTCTTGGAAAAGATTTGCCAAATCTAGGTTTGCTGTTAGTAGATGCTGAAAAGAACTTTCTTGGAACTTCCTTGTTGTTCAGCTTTGTATAACAAGACTTGATGTTTAAATAACGCTTTGATTATGCATGTGTTGGTAGCAATTCTTTAAAACAGAAAAATGAAGGAGTCTCAGTAACAAGAAGCAACTATTAAACAATTGTTTCACTCTGAAAAAGTATGGTGAGGTTTTTATTTAATCTATGATAATAGAAGCTGCTAGTTAGATAGGCAGTGGTTCTTGTGTGACATTGATTTTATCCCTTGTTTGTGTTCTGTTTTATTATTACAGTGGACCTACTAGACTATTGTCATCTTAATGTAACACACAAATCTATTATAACCTGATTATATTTCCCCACTGGAAGCATTTTGGGATAGAGGGCATAATCTTTAATGGGATTTGTGTGAAATTAAATTATACAAGCATCAATAAACATAACATAATTCAGAAGGAGTAAATCAGCTTAATTTATTTGTGGCTGTAATGGCATCAGCGTTAGCAGAATGCAAATGCAGAGGTTTAAAGCAGTAGCTGAAAAGCCGTGCCAGATGAGCAGAAAGTTAAACCCTTTATTAGACAACACTGTAATTTGATGGG